CAACAAACAAGTCTTCATAAGAATTGCGCCAGTAGTGAACTGCCTAGCCACGTGGCATCTTCCCTTTCACTTACTACTTGTGTAACGTTGCACAAAATTACAAAACATGTATATTTTCTTTCTTTTTCGGAGATTATACAGAGAGAGAGATTCGAGAGTGAGAGCAATTAGCAGACATTCACAAACTGACAGTAGGAGCAATTGTCGCAACGCAGTCGTTGAAGGTGACAATAAAATTGATTTAAAGAAGGAAGAGCAACCAAAGTTTCCAAATTCCCAGCCCTGAATTCATTTTCAAAGATTTTGATATTTTTTCTTTCGTTTTGCGAGTGAAGAGATGGCTGTGGCCATGGTCTCAGCTGTGAGAGGCGGTCGCTTACCATCATTACATCACCATCATCGCCGTCAAATGATTCTGAGCTCATCATCCTCATCATCAATTACTGGTAGTTGGGGTTCGTTAAGACCATGGAAGCAGCTCAATTGCCTCTCCAATTCAAAGGGCTTCACTCTCTTGGCCCGCTACTCACAAGCTCAGGATCTTTTCTCCTCTCGCTTCCAAGGTACTTTATTTCTCTCTCCATTTCACTTTTCGATTTCGTGTTTAAATTTTGGGTTCTTGGGTTTAGCTCAATCTTAATCTTTATTTGGTTTTTTTGTTTGTCTTTCAATACCAAACACACCCACATGAACATGTATAGTAGATTATACAGGATTTCAAACTTCTACTATGGTTATGTTGTGCTCATATTGATATGTTAAATCATGAAGAAACAAGTTTTGAAACTCTTTCGTACTTCTATAACAATTTCTTGGTGTTTCGTTTAATGGGTACCTCGAGAAATGATGCTCCTTTTTTCACTTCTTTTAATTGAGCCATTAGCGGTTGCCTTTTCCGTTAAAGTAAGAGATGTGAAACCTAGCTATAGAAACTGTTGGACCAGAAGTAAAATTCTTTTGCTTGGCAGACAGTAATATTCTCAGGAAAATAAGGAAATTTTGATTCACGGGTTTTTTCTCAGACTTGCTATTGCGCTTTTCTGAATTCAGTTTAGACCTTGGCATGAACATTCTACTCTGCATTGTTTAAGTTTGAATTCTTTGTTTTCCTGATCACTCTATTGATTTAATACTTTGAGCTGAAGCTAGAAGTTCTTGTTCTTATCAGATAGTATCCAAGACTTGCCTAAACTGGTCGAGGACATTGTCCAAACATCAATAAGTACAGGTCCACGCGGCGCCCTTAGAATGGCCCAAGGTATTCAAGCGTTTATTGGGGTAGGTGGGGAGTGGCTTGCTGACATTTCAAAGGTAACAGGAACTTCAATTTTTATTGTGATACTATCTTTATGCAGTCTAAGTTATTTCCTATTGAATGACAAAAATGAAATTATATAGCCAATTCCAATAAATTAGGATTAAGACTTAGCTTTGTTGAGTACTCTGTTAATAGCTAGGCATTGGTTAATTTAATATCCATTTGAGTTGACATGACTGATCTTTTTATCTGAAGACTATGCTCCTAAGTAACCCTACCTTCTGTTTGTAGTCATCAAACTCATCTGCTGGATTACCAACCCAAATGCAGCTTGGATTGCTATCCCCCCTTTATTTGAGGAGATTGTTTGAGCGCATGGGGGCAACCTATATTAAGTTGGGTCAGGTAAGTCTTGTTTTTTGATGGCATGCAAATAGCATCCATGATTACCAATAAACAAGTCTTGGGTTCCAAATGGGTATTATGTACACCTTTTTTATGCAAAGTATTATGACTATGGCCACTCCATAAGTTTATTCCGTATATCCAATGTAAATTATTCAACGATTATCTTTTCTTGTTTCTTTCCTTTACTCTCTTTCTTCATGCGACGTGCACAATCACTAAGGATAACTTACTTGCATATGGTAGTTCGTTGCATCTGCACCAACATTGTTCCCATCAGAATATGTAGAGGAATTTCAGAACTGCTTTGACAGAACTCCTGCAGTACCCTTCGTGGAGATTCAAGCAATCTTGCGTCAGGAATTGGGGAAACCAATAGAAAGCTTTTTTGAATATGTTGATCCAACTCCACTTGCTTCGGCCTCAATAGCACAAGTTTTTTTCTCTTCCTTTCTATTGTCACATTTTCCTCAATCCATTTTTTAAGCTTAGTAATAAGAATTGTGATATTGTATGACTAGGTTCATGGTGCAAGGCTAAGAGGCTCCCAAGAAGATGTGGTTATAAAGATCTTGAAACCCGGAATAGAAGATATGTTGGTTGCAGATCTGAATTTTGTGTACATTGTTGCCCGCATTTTGGAGTTCTTGAGTCCCGATATAAGCCGTGCTTCATTGGTATTGTGAACAGAAATTTAGACATTTGCAAAAAATGACTTTAATTCTTATTTTGGATGACAAATACAAGTGTGCTAATTAATTTCATAAGAAGTTTCCATTGTAATCTGTTCATCCTTTCAGTAGGTTGGTATTGTGAAAGACATACGGGAATCCATGCTTGAAGAAGTTGATTTCTACAAGGAGGCTGCAAACATTGAGTCCTTCAGAAGATATTTAGAAGCCATGGGACTCACAAGGCAGGCTACAGCTCCAAAAGTGTATCATCAATGCAGCACCAAACGAGTTTTAACAATGGAGAGGCTATATGGAGTTCCTCTTACTGACCTAGACACTATAAGTTCATTTGTTTCTAGTCCAGAGACCAGTCTCATAACTGCCCTTAATGTGTGGTAAGACTTAAATATTCTATCCACAATTCATGTGCTTGAAATTTTGTGTTTAATCATGTGTCAATGTTTTGATCTTGTCTCTTGGTATTAAATATTTCTGCAGGTTTGGCAGTTTGCTTGGCTGTGAAAGCTTCCATGCAGATGTACATGCAGGAAATTTGTGGTTGTTGCGTGATGGCCGTATTGGGTTTCTTGATTTTGGTATGCGTAATCTTCATGGACCAAGTGTACCCATTCATTTGTAGATGCCATTGTCATCAGCCTTTTTTTTTCAATGGTTCAGTTTTTTTTACATTGTACATGAAATTTCTGCACATAGCACTTAATGTTTATATTCTTGGCAGAAGAAAAGGACTAGATTTCTATATCAAGTCGGCTTGCCTAATGTTTGTTCCCTAATAGTCCCTAGTTGCAGTACCTTCTCTTGGAAAGTTATAGAATTCTGTCTATTTGTCAAACCCTTCAAAATGTTATTGATATATTTTTAAGATTGTTAATTTTTTACCTTGCAGTTATGTGAAATCATTCTTGCATTTGACTTAACTTTACAGGAATTGTTGGTCGTATATCCCCAAAAACATGGGCTGCCATGGAAGTCTTTCTGGGATCAATCGCAACTGAAGAATATGAATCAATGGCATCTGCGTTGGTTGAAATGGGTGCTACAGACACAAATGTTGATTCTAAGGCCTTTGCAAGGGACTTGGAAAAGATGTTCTCATCAATAAAGGCAAGCATTAAATTTAGGTTTTGCCCTAATTGTGTTTTGCTTTCCAAAATAATATTGTTAATCATTGTCCTTGTCCTGGGACTAGTTACGGGAGCTAAGGATCATGTTTATCAGAAGGGTACACCCTGATACCCTTTTTTGCCCTTAAATATGTTTGCTAGAAAGAATGCCAACTGAAAGAGGTGTGCCATAGCTAGAAGATTGCTGGATTTAGAATATAGATCTGAAGTGGCATAGTCACTAGCTAATATTGAATGTGATACCAGCTTAGTGATGACAATAACATAGTCCCTCAAAGAAAAAAAGAAGAAGCAAAAACAGTCCCATTGCATCTAACAATCCCTTCAATACAGGATTTGGATACAGAAGTAGTCATAGCAACAGCCAGGGAGCCGGCTACAAATGCAACTGCTGTCTCTGCTAATCTGGTTGTTGATGAGAGACAAATGAATGCACTTTTTCTTGATGTGGTAAGCTGTTGACTGCCTTTAGGTGTACATGCCTGCAACAAATTATGCAATAAACAATATATTATCTGCAACAAATTAATGTTCTTGAAATTATCAAATTTATCTCTAGGTAAGAAAACAGGATGTAGACGGTTAGTGACACAGTAACGTTTAATACAACACTTAAAGAGGGAAATTGTCTGCTCATGTAATCACTACTCATGTTATGTTGCTTGCATGTTCTTATTTCAGATTCAGGTTAGTGAATCATATGGATTGAAATTTCCTCGAGAGTTTGCACTACTCCTGAAGCAGCTTTTGTATTTTGATCGGTACACCCGTTTGTTGGCCCCAAACTTGAATATGCTCCAGGACCAAAGGATTTCTATTGCTTCAAATCGAAGAAGCAACTACAGGGACAATTTCAGGTGAACCTAGAAGTGCAGATGTAGCTTCCTGAAGTTTGTGTAAATATAAATAAAAGTAATCCTGTATTGAGAATCACATAAGAACAATATCGAGAGCAGGAAAAAGATGTACTCTATACTTTAGGAAAGCAAAGCATATACAGTTTTAGGTATGGGATTGGTCATCATCATATCTTACAATGATTTTCTTCACCAAGTAGTGACTGGTGTTTACCAATATAGACTTCTTGTTATTAATTTACCTTTCTATCAAATTTCTTAAATATTGCCCAGTTGGGAGGATCCAATTACTTATTTAGCATGCTCTGCTGGGCTGATAACCTCATCCAATTTTTATGCGTCCTCTGGAATTTCATTTAATAAAAAATGCTAGGATGGAAAATGGATTGGAAATAGGAACAAGGTTAGTCATCAATACCCACAAGCACAACGTGATACAAGGGAAGAACATGTTGGTTTAGAACTGATAATTGAACTGTAAATTATTATAACCAAAAAATAGAAACTGTAACTTTCGGACATGATATACTTTAGTATATCAGTTCTTCTCTTCTCTTTGAAGTGCTACTAGAAGCAAACAAAAAAACAAATGTAGAAAAAAGTTTGAATTATCATTGCACAGAATGAGCTATACATACACAATCAAATCAAATAGGAACCTCTGGTAAACTTCTATACATACAAAACAATAGAAAACTTGATTTCTACATCTAACATATACTCACTCAGGGGAAATCATACAAGTCCTAGGACAGAATACACAGAAAAACTGGAAAGAAAGGAAAACTCCTTTCGAAAAAAAATTATAAGTCCCTAACATGTAGATATGGCAAAACAAGCTAATGTCTGTCATTGAATAATTTCCCAGAAATCTATGTTTTGACTGGGGCTCTATTCGCTTTCTCCTACTTCTCGATGCTTCGGGTCTAGTAAGGCTACCAAGTAAGGTCTTGCATTTGAGCAAATCCCTCAGGAGTTTCAACATTATCATTCACTGCTTGACAGGTGCATATTCTGAGAAATATCTGTTATCTCTGCTTTGAGTATGAGCTTGTCCCTGTGAGAGATGATCGAGAGCCTCTCATTACTTGGCTTGGTGAAGAGTAACCCATGAGTCGATGAAGTGGTGAAGTTGACTTTGGTGGCACCTCCTCAATTTCTGAGGATAAGGACGGTCTTGCTGACACAAATGTTTCCATTGGATACTTACCTTTGTTCTGAGACTCTTTCAAACCAAGCTCCTTTGTCTCCCGCTTTGGATCCAATGAAGTATGTGACATGTTTCTGTCATCTGAATTACCTCGGAGAGAGTTAGAGGGTGCCAAAGTTCCAGGATCACCATCAGTAGAGTAACTTGCCCTGTAAGAGAGCCCATAACCATAATCATCAGAACATGACACAGGATCCGCATCTTGAGAATCAAATGGTTGGGGTGCTGAAGCCAAGTTACTCCCATTAGCAGCAGAATTATAGTCTCCAACCTCGCTTGGTGGAGGGGCTATAGCATTCTGTTCATATGGGACAATATGAGATCTCTTTAGGAGGGAAAACTTAAGCACCTCTGAACAAGCACCACATCTAAGTTTATGGCATCTCCTTTTGAAAAGGAGAAAATCTGCAGGTATCTGCAGCGGTTTTAGGCAGTTATAACAAGTTATGATAGGGGCTCCACCTGCTATGGGGCGGAAATGTCGCTTAGCCAAATGATGTTTCTCCCTAAAAAACTTATTCACATCATGCCTTGTGTGCCTCAGATCATTAGACCTTGTTTCATGGCCCCAAAGGGGCAAGTCAGGTTCCACATACCGTTTGGGACTTGAGGCACTAGACTTATCATAGGATGTCCAGCAACTGTGGTCAGGGTGGACCCTGCATAACCCATTGTTGTTGCAGCGAACAGGAAGAGGCAATGGTGCTGAGCACTGCCAGTCTTGGGGACCACGATGCAAATAGGAGGGATCAACTTGGTGTCTGCTAGTTGTTGCCTCACTGGAGTAAGGTACATGCATAAATTTGCGGTGCTGGGGCGGATAGTGGCTTCCTGCCCTGTGTCTTCTTAGATACCTTTGATAGTTTTGGTCATGAAAGAGTTCCTCCTGAGATGCCTCATAACTGCTGTGCCGCGGAATACGCGGAATACGATTTTCCTTCCAAGTGGCTCCTCCGGCAACCCTTCCACTTGCCTTCCCATTCAAATTGTTAACTTGATCCTGCAGTTCATAGACCATTCTCAACAGTGTCATCTTGTCCTGTTCAGCTCCCACGGACTGCTCAGATGATTGATAGCCTGAGTTGCGTTGGTACTCATCATGAAATTGAGTTATGGGGCCTCCTTTTGCATATCCACCTTGGGAAAGTCTTCTAGGGAAAGGCACCCTAGACATATATTCATCAGTCTGTAATCTGTTCCACTCTCGACTTGGATGGCCTTGTCTTCTAGGCTGCAGTAATTCATCATCATCCCACTTTCTGTTTTTCATGGCACGATTGTTCTTATCCGAAAAACTTGACCAGGAATCCCTTGCTTGAGGTTGAAATCCTGAATCTCTATTCATCATGTTTTTCGCCAGGAATTTATCCCTTCTGGGTCTTTCTTCAGAACGGAAAAAGTTTGAATGTATATTTCGGTTTAAGAATTGGTCATCCACGCCATCATAAGAAGAAACACTGCCATCATAAGCATGAAGGCTTCTATGTGCTGGGGACTTTGACATATCTCTAGGTGCACCACTAAACTCAGAGCTGGGGTTGAACTCTGCATTTTCAAATGTATCAGGAGACCTTACATGATCAAAGCCATTCGGAACACGATTCTGAGGTTCCTCCAGTTGTTTATTAGGAGAAGATCTAAGGGAATCTGATGATACGCTTTCCCTTGCAGGCATATGCACAGTAACTATTGAACTACTTCCCCTTGTAGCCTCTGGATTGACAGTAGTTGAGCTCCTGACAGCAGAGTCAATATATTTGTTGATGCTTATTTCCACATTTTTTTCTGATAAAGCTAGACTCTCATCATTCATTGATACTGCTGAA